CTCAGACAGCGGTGTTGGAGATCTTATCAAAAGTGATGGAATTATGAACAAACAAAAGGTCAGATTTTGATCTACCATGCAATACCAGCTGGTAAGCATCTGATTAGCAGTGGCTTCATTTTTCAGCATGACAGTGATTCCAAACGGTTCGAGTGAAGGAAAAACATGCAGGATTTAAAAAACAGAAAACAAAACAAAACCACACACACAGTGGAACATTATCATCCTAAGAGCCTGAACCACAAGATTACTGAAGGAATGTGAAGGCCCTTCAGGAGGTCTGGAGAACTATTCTTAAGACAATTTAAAGAAATTACATGAAAGCTGCCTAAGAGAGTTCATGCTGTGTTGAAGAATTAGGGTAGTCATACAAAATTTCAGCTTTAAAGTTCATTAGAACTGTTCAAACTCTGTTGTTACCTTATATGCTGTATCCTACAATGTATCTATCGTTGTGGAGGACTATAAATACCTTGGAGTACACAATGACAATAAACTGGACTGGGCTACAAACACCACAGCACTTTACAGGAAGGGCCAGAGTCGTCTCTATTTTTTGAGGCGACTGAGGTCCTTCAACATCTGCCAGAAAATGCTCTGGCTTTTCTATGATTTTGTTGTGGCCAGTACGATCCTCTATGCTGTTGTATGCTGGGGGAGCAGGCTGAGGGTCGCAAATGCCAACAGACTCGATAAACTGATCTGTAAGGCCAGTAATGTTGTGGGGATGGAGGTGGTGTCGGAGAGGCGGATGTTGTCCAAGATAAAGACAATGTTGGATAACACCTCCCACCCACTCCATGACATGCTGGTCAGTCACAGGAGCACGTTCAGTAAGAGACTGAGATTACCGAAAAGCATCACTGAACGACACAGGAAATCATTCCTGCCTGTACAGCTCCTCCATCTAACACACTGTTTACTGCAACCGCTACACCCTTCTTGCACATGCTCTTCCTTTTTCAGCTATTTATTAATAAGTGACTTTTATGTATATATTTGCATGTATATCTTGTGCTATTCTTAGTTAGTGTATTGTCTGTCTTTGTTAATGTTTGTTTATAATGGAGCACTGTAATGAAAAATTATTTCCCCTAGGGATCAATAAAGTATTCTGATTCTGATTCATGTATGTTTGCATATTTCAGGACTTTCACATTCGGTGAGATTTTTAACAGGTTCTAATCCACCGGTAAAATAATTTTTATCATATATATTCATATGTAAAACATATATGTGGTTAATGCGTAAAAACTGAACCCAGGACTATATATAATATAACTCCTACTGATGCAAATGATGTGCAGCACTTTAATAACCCTGCCAACCCCCAAAAAGCCTTTACCATATAAACATAGGTAAGTATTTACGTATGAAATGGAAGAAAACATACATTTGCCTTCAGCAGCTGAAATACATCATCTGCTTCATTCTTTTCTTTTTGCAAAAGATGAAAAAGACGCATTCAAAGCCAAGGACACCTCCGTGGAATGAGTAACTTAAAATTTCTCACAGTGAACTGAAACTCGCTGATTACGCCTCTAAAGCTTTATTGTGCTCAATGGCAGATAACCTTGGTGGCAGATATCCACTCAACAACACTCATTACTGACAAGTGAAAGGAACAGAACATCTGTTATTACTTTTAATCAAGTTTCAAGAGTGTGCTGGACTTTTCCATTTCAAACAAAAAAAGCTAGAGAAGGAGATAGTGGGTTTTAATCGCATTTGTCGCAAACAAAACTCTGTGTCTTCAAGAGTTACACAAACACAGCAATAATCAAATTTTCCTTTTTCTTCATTTGAGCTGCAAATTAACTGCTGCACTAACGGCATTAACACCATTCAGTGCGCAAGATGATCTAAATGACATTGATGTTGTGTGTGTTTGTGTGTGAGTGTGTGGCTTCAAAGAACACAAACAAAAACACACTAGACTAGAGTCTAACAGAAAATATCCTTTTGTTCTGTATAAATGCTGTTGCTCAGTTGTGTCGGAGTCCAGCTGAAAATCCTATCATTTTTTGGGACGTATCTACCTGAAAGGGAATTCACACAGACTAAAAAAGCTGACTAATCATGAGCCAACTTCATCTGCAAAAACATTTCCCGAGGGATCCACACACTTCAGCACTTGGCTACACAAATACATGCACACGTAAAATCTTTACATTTATAAAGAGACACCTACAGCGTCACACTCCTAAAGACAAACATGCAAAGACCAAGACAAACATTGTTGAATAAATATGGCAACCTTGAGCCTGTTTAGAAGGACAGCTACTTTGCTCAATTACCTACAAAATACCTTTAATCTTATCCATGTGCAAGTCCATTATCTGTAAGTCACATTGGTGCACTGACAGAGTCAAGCTTCTGAATACAACCAGCACACAATTAATATAGTCTCCACTTAGACTGATTATTAAACCAAATAGAAAAACAAAACAATATGAAGTCACGTAGAATTGATTTCTTAAGTCTCTGGGAGTGTATTAGAGAAACAAACAAACACATTTCAATATATGGTTTTTGGATAACGATCCCGTCATTCTTAATTTAAAACTATGAGCAATTTGGACGTACATAACTCACAGCATTAGGACATTAACAGTCCTCGGTGTTGACAAAAAAGTAAATAGCCACAATGACTTTTTGCGTGTCAGTTCGTGGGAATGGAACATGTTGGCCCAAAACTCCCTGGATAAGTATAAGTATTACCATCCTGGAAAAGACTATTTCCCAAAGCATAACACACACACCACTAGATCTCCTCACTGTAGTGATCAAGGGTTCGGGTTTATTAAAATTTGTTCCCTGTTACGAATAAATCTTTTGCAATTATTAACTAAACAAACAGCTGACTGACAGTGGTCACTTATGGGGAGCATTGGCAATATATGGTTGGATACAGGACCAGGCTAAGCTTAGAACAGGAGAGCGACACTCTATGTCTGCAAGACAAGTGTTCAGGATGAGGGCTGAGATGGTGCAGCTGTGCAAGAAGTTAAATGGCTATTATCGGCAAAACTCTGCTTCTGTCTGAAAAGAATTGAGACAGATCACAAGCTGCAAGCTTAAAGCCTCACATTCCACTAACAGCTTGCACCCAGCCGAAGACCTGAATGATGGGACGTGCCTGACACGTTCCCCTCTAAACCATCCATCAGCGCTAGCCCACCAGCTCTACCTTTCCCACTAAAACAAGTCGTGGGCCTCTCCACAGCTGCCTACCACACAGCAGTCCTCTCCTCCCCTAACACATGCTTGTCTCTTTCCTGGAGAGAAAGAGACATCTTTTCCTGGAGAGAGATGTTAACAGACTCTTCAAGAGACAAGCCCCCACAAAGCAGCTGGGCCCGACTCCATGTCTCCATCCAACTTAAAGAGGTCTTTATACCTTACTAGAGACAATCCATGTGTCAACCTGTTTCAAGGCCTGCACAATTGTTCCCCCCCCCCCAAACCAAACAAACAAACGAAACAAAAAAAAAAAAACAGAGACCACAGGACATGATGACTACCAACCCATTAAAATACAATGTGACCCTACACTTCATTGTTCAGCACCTTCACCCGGTGAATCCACGCCAGGGTTCTGTCCGTGGAGTTCAGCTCAGTTTTTAATTACCATCATCCTGCTCCACTGCATAACAAGCTGTCCCTGCTGAGTGTGCCTGACACCACAGAGCACATGAAGCTGGGAAAACACAGATCATCAAAGGTTCCTCCTAAGGTGGCGTTCTTTCCTCTCTACTAGTGATGTGAGCACCAGAATTAATGTGTGGGTGGGAATCTAAACATTACCATTTTGATTAAAAGCAGATGGGTTGAAGGTGACTGAAATATTACAGCACTAATGAGAAAAATAATAAAGATTAATGATGATATTAATAATGATTCTCTTTATTGTTGTCAGGCACAAATTAGCAGAATAAGTTGTCACTGTGCCAATTCTGGGGTCCATTTGTATTTATTTAAAGCATGCCTGCTTAATGCTACAAAATTGTTTCACATAACTCACATGTAACTGACTAAATTGAAAATAACTAGTTTCCTTGTTTGGCTAGCTGGGAGATGATTAATGGGATGCAGGTAATGCATCACTACCCTCTGCTCTACACAGCTGCACCTTTACAACTGCAGGGTCACCAGTCTGCTCCTGAATGCTAAAGCTCGTGAAGTTTGAAGATGACCTGGTGTAGAGCTCAGTGCTCATCATGGACATAGTTGCAGATTTCAAGAACTTCCCAACTGTCCCCATCATTCTGTGTGAATCCACAGTTGTCCCCCAGCTTCCTGGGACCATCGCCACCCAGGGCTTTATGAGGAGCTAAAGATCAGCTCCCTGTCACGCTCTCAGATTTAATTCATATAACAACAGAAGAAGTTTAACCTGCTGGAAAAAAATGTCTACAGAATAAGTCCAAGACCATTTTTCACCTCCTTTGGCACCACAACATTGCCAAAACCAAGGACAAAGGCAGACTCCAGTGCATCGTTCTGCTTAGAAGGTAATTAGGTGGAATCTGTCATCGCTTCGGGACCTGCACACTTTCAGGACCGCAAGGCAGATGGGAAAGATCAGGGCTGATCCACCCCACCATGGATGCAAATGTTTCTCCTCTGCCTAAATAACCTTTTTCTTTCTGCACCTGGTCCCCCTCCTCCCTCATACACACCTGCACACCTATAATAACACACATTTCTTCTAGACTTAAATCCTTGCACTCTGCACAGTTTCTTACACTTAACACTGTGAACATTTGCACATTTCATTTTTTGGTGCATCCTATTGCATCCACTGCAATATTTTAAATACATATTAACAGAATGCTTGAACAATGTCAAATCAGCTAACTCCACAAATACATTATTTTGTCTGTACTTGCTGTACTTCTATGATAACAGGATATAAGGTTATCTAAAGTATACTTTACTTTTCTGTAAATCATGAACACACCACAAAAGCACCTGTACTTATTTTCAATGACACCTACCTTCTTGTAGAGAGAGCGCAGGTCTCTGTACTGCCACATACTGCTGAGGACTTGAGAAGCTGCCTTTACCACCTTTGCTGAGTGTCTGCATAGAGACAGAGAGAGAAGGATTATTTCAAATTGACTTCACATCATGGTCATGCTGTCCCTTATTTTTTACCAGCTGCACAAAAAGTGTGCAGGCCAGGAGCTTTAAGAATAAGAACGCCATTGCTCTTTTCAACAGAGAAAAAGTTTCATTGCACGCAAACAGTTTTCAGATGAGTTTGAAATGACCCACTCTACCATGCTAATGGTCCCACCTCTGCCACTCAGATGACAAATGACTCTAGTCAGAGTCAGTTCATAAGGCCTGCCCTCCTAATGGCTCCAGCGGGAAGCAGAAGGATGTTCATTTTCAATTTGCCCAAAACAAAAATCGTTGTCAAAACAAGCTTCACTCTGAGTTTTACAATTTCACACTAAAAAGAGCAAGAAGAGTTTGGACGACTGAACAATGTAGTAATGGTATCACCAGTAAACCACTGCATTAGCATTAGTTACACATGACTACAGTGATTCCCAGGAAACAGCTTGCAGAACCTCGATGTTAGATCATGAAAAAAATATTTAAATTCCAGTGGTTTTTTTGTTTTGTTTTTTTTACAGCAAAGAGTCTTCAGCGAACGCTGGGAGTACTGGTATTTAAACAGCATCGTAAAATGATTTTGATCATTACTAGATTACGATTACACAGCCGACATTTTGACATGTAAGAGCAGGAAAAGCACAGGTTTATTAAAAGTCGCTGCAAGATGCAACATGCAAATCTTCAGAAAATGAAAACGAAATTTGGGGACTGCAAAAATCATGTTGCTATTTGTTTGACATGTTGGTTTTAACCCAGCATTTATCGACGTTTTTGGAATAGTTGGGAGTTGTTTCTGTTTATAAACAGCCATTAAGTGCTTCTTACAGTTGTAGTGTAAGGGGTATTTTCCCAATCCAGTGTGTAATTGTATGATTGGTACTGCTGATAATTAACATTTATTCTCAGCTTACCTTCCCCAGGAAAATAAAGATATGTTGGCTATTAGCAGATAACTACACTCACCATGAAATTTGCATTTGTGGAGGTTTCTTTCAGTACCTCATCCCTCTTGGGAATGGTGCCCTTGAGCACAGTTCCCTAAACAGGCCGAGTCCCTTACCATAACAATAAATCATCCTTTGACCTCCGTCTGATAACGTTCTGGTGTCATAGCAACTCCTGACCTACTGGTTGCCATAGCAGCTACGCAGAACACCCTGCCCAGTCTCCCATGGAAATATATATTGGCTGCATCTTGCTTGTTGTTCTCCAGCTGTCTTTTTTGCAGATGAAGGGTGATAGGGAAGGCGGACGCAGTTATGTATGAATGATGGATGTGTAGCTACATTAAGGCGCTGGTTGTTAATGACAACCTAAATTGAATCATGACTGAATGATGTTGTGACAGGTAACAATAAAATACTGAGGCCTTCTTGGATTTAAGCTACTTGTTATTAAGATCTAGTTGCGTTAACCTGAGGAAAAAAATGAATGCAGAGCAATCTAAATCTTTTACTTTTGCATGTTTTGATGACAGTATTCAAATTTTAGATATTAATATTAACATTAGAACAAATCAAACAATGTACCATGTTATAGAAAAAAAATATTTACAGTATTGTTTTCTTCCATGTGATAAACCATTTCAAGAAAACTACTGTAATGCATTTTAAATCAAGCATCTACCAAAGGATGAAGTATTAATGGTAGTATTTGTCATATACTGTGTGTTTGTTTTCTTTGAACAGTCTACCTTGCATAATTCAGTTAGTTTTCACTTTTTGGTTATTCTCCTTTCTTGTGCTTGAAGAAAAACTGTGTTTTGCCAGTGTCTAAATCCCGAGATGTCTAAAGCACAGCATCATATTCTGCCAAAGGTTCGAAAGATTCACTTCTGTGGTGGAAGAAGCAGAGGCAGAAGAGTCCTGAGATCCTTAGTTTATATATGGGGACATTACATGTGGGCTTTTCTGCAATTCACATGTCATTCTGCTCAATACAGTCTAATATACTTATGTTACAGCAAGTTTACTGCTATTATAGTTTGTTTCATTTTGTGAAACTCCTGTATCGTTTTATGATGTTTGTATTGTTAATGGAAAGAAAATGTTAGTTAGCCTGTACAGGGGCATGGCTGTGACTGGTGTGGCATCGCTACAGCCTCGAGGCCACGTCCTATATGGGGAGCAAAGATGGGCAGTAACGTGTTACTTGTAAACATGTAACTGATTACGTTTTTCAAGTAATGAGTAAAGTAAGGGATTACTATTGCAAAAACTGTAATTAGATTACCGTTACTTTCCCGTAAGCATGCTGTGTTACTGAAATCGAGATTTTTTTGCTAGAATGTCTCATGACAGTGACGTAAGCGAGTATGACGTTCGTGACAACAGCTGTGTGCAGATCAACAATGGATAATATATCGAGTGCAGGAGAGAGTATGAGCGTGCAGCGTTTAAAGCGTGGAAGTACTGACCTTATTTTGAGTTTGATTCCATAAAAAGTGACAAAACATTAGTGTCCGTTGTGCGTGGGAAGAAAACTTCTTTTTACAGCGAAACCTCCCCCCTAAACTTCCAAGCAAGCACCGAGTGCGCTACGACGTAATGGGAAATTCACAGAGAAACTCGCGGTGTGCCCTGGTGCGGCACACCTGCACCAGGGCAAACCTCCGCCTACCCCACTCCTGCTTTACAGGTGAAAATAGAGCAACAGGACGGCTAGTCTTTGATTTTATTTATTTTCTGCTGTGTTTTACTTGCATCTATTTGAACGAGTGAGTGTAAACACAAAAAATATTTTATTTTATGTGCTGGAATGTGCAGAAAATAGGTTTAAATGTTAAACAAATTTCTTCCAGTCAGAGAATGTTGCATATAATTAAATTTTTGCTTGATGCATAAAGTCTGTGAAGGTTCTCAGTCATCCAGGTCATTGCAGTCAGAGGAGCTGGCAAAGAAAAGCGACTGGACTAGTTTAAGTTGCTTGAAGACGTTTCATCTCTCATCCGAGAAGCTTCTTCAGTTCTAAGGTCAAAATGCAGAGAGTCCCAGATTTAAACCCAGTGGGAGTTATCCCCCCAAAGAGGGACAAAAGGACCCCCTGATGATCCTCTACCTAATCACATGAGCCAAGGTGTGAAAATGGGTGTGGGTCCCAATCAGCCAGAGTTTCGGGTGAGCTCATTGTGAAACCTGGCCCCACCTTATCATGCGATTTCCTGAGGTCAGATGGCCCAGGATGTGAGTGGGTGTTAAGGCATCTGGGAAGGGTTCTCAAAACTGGATTATAGATGGCAGACAGTTGGTGTCGTAAACCCCCGGCTCTGTTCAAAGATGGTCGCTCACAGTGGACATAGATGGCTTCTTTCACTCCTCTTTCAAACCATCTGTACACTCTGTCCAAAATGTGAACATTGGCATCCTGGAAAGAGTGTCCTTTATCCTTAAGATGCAGATGAACTGCTGAGTCTTGTCCTGTGGAGGTGGCTCTTCTATGTTGTGCCATACGCTTGTGAAGTGGCTGTTTGGTCTCTCCAATGTAGAGGTCTGGGCATTCCTCTCTGTTTCTGTCTGAGTGTGTTGCTGGGTCTGAAATGCACCGGGATGTCGTGCTTGGAGAAAACTCTCCTGAGTTTCTCTGATACACCGGCTACATAGGGGATGACAATGTTGTTGCGTCTGTCTTTCTTATCCTCCCTCGCTGGTGTCTGGTCTTCTTTTCTGTGCCTCTTTGCTGACTTTATGAACGCCCATTTAGGATAGCCGCATGTTTTGAGTGCTTCCTTTACATGTGTGTGTTCCTTCTTTTTCCCTTCAGGCTTAGAGGGAACATGTTCTGCCCGGTGGTGTAGGGTCCTAATTACTCCAAGTTTGTGTTCCAGAGGGTGATGGGAGTCAAAGAGGAGGTACTGGTCCGTGTGTGTGGGCTTCTGGTAAACTTCGATGTTGAGGTTGCCATTCTCTTCAATGTGCACGGCGCAGTCCAGGAAAGGCAAGCAGTTATCCTTTGTGTCTTCACTGTGAGCGACCATCTTTGAACAGAGGCGGTGGTTTACAACACCAACTGTCTGCCATCTATAATCCAGTCCCTCTGTGGGGGGAAACTCCCACTAGGTTTATATCTGGGACTCTCCACCATTTGACCTTAGAACTGAAGAAGCTTCTCGGATGAGAGGTGAAACGTCTTCAAGCAACTTAAAGAAGTCCAGACGCTTTTCTTTGCAAGCTCCTTTGATGCATAAAGTTAAAAGATTAAAACTTACTGATTACGTTACTGATTACTTTTTTCAAGTAACTTTACCAACACTGGTGTGGAGCCAAGATGGCCGCCATCTGCAGAGAATCATTTGTTTCCTTTGTCATTCAAGTGGCTACATCTGTGTCTAGAAGAAGAGGAGTAAGAAGGGGTGAGCTGCCATTTGTTTTCTCCTGCTTTGCTAAACTAGAGAGGTAAGCCCATTGTTTTTCATTTGTTACTTTCAGGCAGGTCATCTGAGTTTGTGTTGATGCTTAGTTCTGTTTGTTTGTTGTTTTGGCCTTAGTTCATCCTGAGGATTTTATACTCCTGAACTTTTGAATTTGTTGAATAAAAAATACAGCATTGTTTTTTTTTTTCATAGAGAAGTTGTTCCCCCAGGGTGCTTGCGTCTCAGGGAAATGGATGCCTTTTTCATGTCATGTCCAGGCCTCTTACACGGGACTTCAGTACATTAAAGAATGCTGTAAACTAAACCTATCCCCCCGATGTCAGGACATCATTTCTATTCAAGTATTTATCATTTTAGTTTATTTATTTATTATTGTTATATGTATTCTGTTCAGAAATCTTTGCTATTTATCAGGTTCAACTAATCCCAAACAGCTAAGAGAAATTTAAACAGGTGCTCAGGTTTTAGATTAAGGACGTTTTTATAAAGACATTTTATACAATAAGTCCCATATTGTCCTTTAGATAATAGTGTATCTAAAGTGCTGTAGAAGATGTGGTATTTTAGCATTTCATGATGCAGATCTTATAGTGTAAAATAAACCGGTGTTTACTGCTAAGCGGTTTTGGTAGAAGTAAATTTTCATTTTTAAAATTTAGTAGTTACTCACTTGTCTCCTTTGCTGCGGGCAATGCCAATGAGTTTTTCGATGCCACCGGCATCACGTAGAGCTTTTGCGTTTTCCATGTTTTTGGTTATGACTTCATGCAGTGCGCAACAGATGGCAGTCACTGTGTCATCTGACATGGCCTTGCTGGGAGGGCCTGTGGTTCCAGAGGTCCCACTGCTGGTTGCATTATTGTTGCTGCTGCTGCTGCCTGGTAACCGATGGATCAAATCTCTCATTGCATATTTACCTGGAGAAAATGAAAGAAAGGAACAGGAATCCTTATTAACTTTTAATCTTCACACAGTTTTGTTCAAAGCAAGTCTGAGTGACAGTCACTGGATTTTGTGGACAACATTTTTTTTAAGTTAATATCACATGCAACCACTTAATAGATAAAAAAAACCCTCCATAAAACTTCAGCTTGAGAGGGCACATTGCAAATCCTCTGATGCATACACTAATTTCAGGACTGCTGAAATTCCAATAAAAGGGGCGACTTTTGGTATTTCGGGGAAAAGGCTGGCATATTAAAAAACTGACATTCAAAGAACTGGTGAGATCGAAGCTACAGAAAGAGGGTGTAATTAAGAAGTACAGGAGATGTCAGATAGGAAGCACATGAATTATGAGAAAGTGAAACAGATGGGGGTGAAAGTATTTAAAATCTAGGCTGCCAACAATACTTGTAATTTAAGCTCACCCACAGAGGAAGTCAGTAACGTTCTTGTGCAAGTTAGCTCAAAGAGACTTGAGAAGTGATATAGCTACTTTCAGCTGCTTCCTTATTCACAAGGGGTTGCACAGCACGTATCTGCCCATGTTTGATTTGGCAGAGTCTTTACACTGGATGCCTTACTTAACACAACCCCAAAGAGATTTGTGTCTCCTACTGGAATCAAACCTTGGATCTTTTATACAACGGAGACACTCGAGAGGTGAATGAATGAAATTCCAGAAAATATCGTTTAAATGAGAAATGTTCGATGACGTGCATTCAAATGTCGACAATAATTCCTGAATCTTCCATTCAGAAAGTCACCGCGGAGCGAAATATTAACATGACTGTGGATACGGGCCAATATCAGAGATCCAAAGTTATCAGAGCAAATACGTGATGAGGACGAGAAGCTGAGGGATTGAACAGATGAGGAGGGATTGTGCTGACTAAGGTGGTGGTGGGCATGAATCAAACATGAGCAGCAGTCAAAAAGTAGGAAACGCACTGACCATCACAAAACCCGTCAGTAACGCCTGAGTCAGGCTGAACCCCTGAGACATACCCCACAGGTCATGTTTCATGTAAAGAACAATCAACGTGGACACAGGGGTGAATACTGAATAATGAACAAGATGAAATGTGGTTAATTTTTAACAAAGTCAACCATCAGAAAGACGAGGATTAGCCTTTGGCTCCACAGCACTCACAAAGAGGTGCACTTCAATCAAGTGACCATCTTCACACGGATGACTCAGTGCGTACCTCCTATATGACGTGTTTTGCTGGAAGCGACAATGCGCGCCACTTTCTTTGTATACAAGGTTCGATAATGAACGGCTCCCCGACGTGACTCATGCATCCCTTTAAAATTCATAAAAGTGCATGTCTCCCACTGGTGCTGGATCAGATGAAAACAGTAAGTGCTACTGTTAGTGCGTAACTCAACTGTTGAATCATCTTCAAGTGCGCCATTACATCCTCTCTGGCAGCAGAGGAAACTCAGGCCAAAATACTCAATTTGCAATAAAGTGCTTTTGGATTTGACCAAGTGGTTTTTGTTTTGGGAAAAAAAGCTTCTAAACAACTCATTTTAAGTAAAGCTACAGTATAAAGCTACTAAATACTCAGTACTTTGTATCAGAGGTCCAGTGTTTTGCAGATCTGTGGTTCTGTTTTGAATTTATTAAATTTCACTGTAAAAAAGATGAAAAATTATAACAGCAAAGAGATTGGTTTCTTCAGTTGTGGAATTAAGTTAGAGCAAAGTCTGAACCTAACATCTTTTTCTCATCTCCCGTCTTTTCTTTATTTGCTATTTATCAAACATTCTTCCACATTACACTGAATGATTTCCCCAGACCAATGCATCACAGTGATATCCACGCAGGCCCTACAGCCTCACGGTAAATCCCTCACTCATATTATGTCTAACAAGGCGTCGAGATCTGGGAAGGATTGAAACACCAAAGCAACACGGACAAAAGAGAGATCCTAGAATAACGTAGCACAGGATATTGTAAGGGAGCAGTCACGTGCAAAAAGAGTAATGATGATTTTACACAACAAGCATTTCCGTCACACACTTCTGATTTCACAAAGGCAGCGAATGACGATGCTTAAAATACACACAGAGCTGGGTGGGTGGGGCTCAGGTGGTAGAGTTGGTTCTCTGCAGTCAGGACGTTGGTGGATTGAACCCCGGCTTCTTCTGTCCATGTATCAAAGTATCCTTGAGCAAGGCACTGAACCCTGAGACGCATCGACTGAATTGTGAGTGTGTGTCAGCTAAAAGTACTTTAGTGTGGATAAAAGTGAGTAGAAAGGCATTATATAAGCACCTGTTTATTTAATATTCTCACTCTCTTTCTCTTACACACACACACACACACAAACACACACACACACAGATCCATCTGTACGCATAGAGTTGAGAGTTAATTGGCCAAGTGTTATCACAGGCCGGCAGGCTGAACCGAGGTTAAGTGGTCACTGTCTTTTGGCTGTGGAGACACAGTTAAGCTACATTCCAAGATGAAGACTCATTATTTGACTGACTTGAATCACTCAGACTAATTCTTGACTGATTTGCTTGCTGATGATTGATTAATTTGCTGGCGAATTGCTTTATTTAATGATCTGACTACATTCTGAGTGAGTGACTCAATTATTTACTGCCTGACTGCATGACTTATTTACTCACTGTCTGACAGACAGATAATTTACTCCTTGAGTGACTGACTGTATGATAAAGTTAGTGACTAATTTATCAAGTGACTGACTGCAGGTAATAACAGTAATGACAAAATGAGAGCATATCTGAGTCTATTAATCTAAATATCTTCTGCCTATAGACAGAAGTGCTGATAAGATGCCATCAGCATGTGCCTAAATATGCTTGCATATTGTGAGCGTGCACCTGCTTGTGTGCATGTTTGCATACACAGGTGTGTTCTTCTTAGTCTCACCAAAACTGCATTCATGACCACGTGTGAGTGAGCAGATTATAAGGAATGAGAGAGGGAAAGAGGTTGTAAGAGGAAGGGTAGAAGATGGAGACAATCAGAAGTAATGTCTCAAGGACATAGAAACTCATGAAAGAAAGCAAATGTTTTTGCTTACATATTCATTGCGCTGAGACGGATGCAATGCTGAAGAATCAAACGGATGGGTCCTCGTTATTTCCAACCCTTCTAATAACAGTCTTGTTAGAGGAAGAGGCTGCATCCCGATAATCAGTAAGAGCTGAGACAGAAATCCTCCATACACACAAACACACCCAACAAACCAAGACGACACGTACGCGTACAGATAAGCATACACACCAATACGCATCTCATCTCAAACGAGACGACGCTCATTATCTGGCTTTCCGTTTGTTTGCTTCGGTTTTTGACTTCTTTATTCTGTTTTTGTAGGATTTTTCCAAGTTACCTGTTTTGGTGTGAAATATATAAGACATTATTCATATTATATTTTGAATCCAATTTTTACAAGATAATGTTTTGTCTCTGGGGAGCTTTATTGTGTTTTTATCAGCTCACAGCATTTATCATAAAACAAATATTAATATTGCATGAGGAAATGAATCGCAGAGCCTAAATTAAACCAAAGCTACGCTCAGACGCCACTTTAGCCAAATACAATCTGGCCTTTTTCCTACAGAGACATATGATACCGAGAGCCTGCAAGAAGCTTATTGATGAATTATAGATTAATATAAATGAGAGGGAGTTGCTGTACTTTCCTAATGTCAGTACAAAATTCAACACATTTTATAGCTTAATCTTTTGATGTGCTCATTACCCTGCTGGAGATACCGCTTGTTAAAGCGCAGCGCTGGAGTTTACTTACTACTAAGTATACAATCCATCTCTCGTAAGTCTAACGTATTTAAACGAGGGATAATTAGAAATGGTTAGAAAGAGTACAGATACAAATGGGTTTAATAACTCACCATATTGTAGTACAAACAACCAGAAGCCAAACTGAATGTCAAAGCCAGAAACTTTATATAGCAATATTTCATGTAATCTCACAGTGATCATAAGTGCACGCACACGGAAGAAATAATCGAGCTGAGGAGAGGATTAAGACGGATATTTTTTTTTATGAGTGGGTTGTGACTCATTCTATTTTAAAATCCTAATGTGGCACCTCTACATGCTAGTGTGCAATCTCCCCTCTACTCTTATATCTACTTTCTTTGTCGCTGAAATGTGAGCTAGACCCCGAACATGTCCTCAAGGAGGGAAACAAGCCCTGTGCTGATCACGGCACAGTCTAATAAACCTGTATTACACAACTCCTCCAATATAGCTATCTTCACCTGGGAGGCAGAGCTGGTAATGTATTCCTGTGCTGCATTCCCTCATGTGTCGCTAACTCCCGCTGAGCAGGGCATGCTTCATCAGGGCCATAATGGCTGATTTGATTTAAAGAGATCCAATTACCCTCAACAATGGAGCGATTTGATTGTTTACTGACAGAGAAGGGGGAGTGTTATTGAAGTAAAATTGGAGGTAATTGTCTCAGGGAGATGTGGGGAAAGATGAAACTGCCTGATTGGTTGTGGCGTCCGACTGTCTGAGAATAAAGGATGGTTAATACACGGTTATCAGTGACTGGGTCGGGGTCCCAAAGGTGGGCTGGTGAATGCTTCCTGGTATCAGAAGCTTCTGGCAACATTGTTTTTTTTAACTTCTTCTGTGTTTTCTGAAGTTGTTGTAGGCTGAATAAAAGCTAACGACTCTATGAAAGTTTACCGCTCGAATAAACAAATCAAACATGACTTGTGATGATGATGTTTTCATAAACACGTGAATTTGATGATGGAAAATGAATACACATTAGGAATACAGTTATATGTGCAACTAAAGAGTTGCTATGGTGCCTCGAATTATTATATAAACAGGCAGTCTAATAAAAACAGGTAACTGCAGTCTAAATAGAAAAAAAATATAAAGGAAGCCACTATATCTGTGACAGATGTAATTCTTAGGTGCATCTGTGTGATTTGAATCAGTGTCTCA